TGAAATGAAAACACAAGAAAAACTTTCTGTAAGTCCTAAAAAATAAGTCTGTATATTGCAAGAACACAGTTCTTTACTATGTAATTCCAGATAGATGCAAATACATAGCTATTTTTCTTTTGATTCTAAGTCTGTCTTCATACAGCACTGATCAGAGCTTTGGATGTTTAAATATGGATTTTTTGCATTCTCACTGTTTCACTAAACTATTGACAAGACTTTGTATTGGTCTTATGCTGGGTTAGGCTGCACTGCCATGCGTTTGTCGGCCAGTATCTTGGTGGGAAGCAGGGAGGACAGGTTCAGATTAATTCTGGATGGGAAGTCTGGTGTAGGAGCTGGTCTTTCCCTGCCAGCAGCCCACCCTGCAGGCTGGGGGGCAGCCAGGACCCTTGCATTAGCTATTACTCTTCTTATGAAATGGAATTGTTAGGAAGGAAGTTTAATTCCAAATATAAGGTAAAATACAGACAATATTGAACATAAGAGAACGATGGCACTTGGGATTGTATATGCTGCTACACCTCAGTTTTGTTGGTGTTAGTGCAGATGCCACTGGTTTAATATCAATAATAAAAAGTTGATTCCCTCTTCTGTTTTCCTTTGACAGCTGCAAGTCTTTCTATTGCTGCTGAGTGGCATGAGCCTCATGCTCTGTCCATGGGCATCTGTTCCATAAAAATATGGGACATTATTGCTGTGGCAAATTGTGCCACTTGGATTAGAAAATGTGTTACCTGAATATTGTTTATGGTGTCTGTTCTGCGTGTGTGTTTTTATGCTGAGCTGGTGAATAACGTCAGTGGTTTTCTCACTGAAACTTCAAATTTAGTTTTAAGTAAATTGGCAAGTGACAGCAGCGATGAAATCTTGTCGAGTACTTTAGCTATTGTTACTGGTTTCCTTGGAGCTCCTATCCAAGTTACGATGCTTTTGAGTTTTGGTCTTTTTATATATTCATAGTCACAGGATCACATTTTCTCTCTTCCACTGTCTGTGGTGTTAGTTGGCTTTTAAAAGTCCTTCATCCCTGCTTCTGTTTGCTCTTTTCACAAATTAAAATGTTAACTAACTTACTAAAGAATAATTAATGTTCTTTAAGAATAACACAGCAAACATCAAGCAAGCTATGAAGAATTTTTGTTGCCTACTTTCAAGCAGCTTTCTGGTTCTGTTCTATAGATTTCCTATATGAACTAGGAATTTTTATATCAGTAATTAAGTATATGCATGTTTATATAAAACAAGTCACTACCATTTATTATTGTTATATATTGTTCTATGAAAATATAATTTAAGGTTGTGGTGTTACGTGGGGACATGCTAATCTATTTTCTATTAATTATCACAGGTACAAGTGACCCATATGTGAAGTTTAAACTGAATGGGAAAACTCTCTATAAAAGTAAGGTAGTCTACAAGAACCTCAACCCCGTTTGGGATGAAACTGTTGTGCTGCCTGTACAGAGCCTCGATCAGAAACTCTGGATCAAGGTAAGGTTTAGGTTTTGGCTTTTAGATTTTTGAAAGATCAATATTTTTTTAGGCAATGATTTTCAGCTTGAGAAGCATATAGATTTTTATTCACTGCAGCAGCGTAACATAAACCACAATCCACTTTAAGAGTTTCAGCAATTTCAAATTAAAATGCACATATGTCTTTTCCAGATTTTACTCACATGTTTTGCTTTCCATCTGCAAAAACCCACATTGAAATAGAACTCCTTGGCTGGATACATTTTAAAGCTATGGGAGCTAAATTCTGCTCACTCTTACTGTGCTTGTGCAAAGTCAGTGAAACCAACAGCGGTTTCATAAGCACGTTTTAAGAGTGTAATTTGGCTGGGTTGAACAGAATTATTACCTGGGATGAAGCCGTGACAAGTAGCAAAGCCTTTTCTCATTATGAGTAACGTTACAGTTACCAGAACCGCAAGCTACCAGTTGTGAGCACTAATTGCTAAAACATCTGTAGCCAGAAGTACCTGATTCCTGTGCAGTGTTTCATTATGCAATTGAGCAGAGCATAAAGGAACAGGCACCATCCGTAGCAGCACACATGTCTCTGTTTACATAATATTAAGGAGATATTTTCAAAATGCTCTTTAAATATTTAGTTAAAAATACAAATTAAAGCAGGGAGTTGGAAAATTATCACTGAATTATAGCTAAGCTTTGATCTTTCAAACACGAAATTGAACTGAAAGAGTTTAAAATATCTGTTCTTTTATCGGCTGGGATAAAACTGGCTTATGATGTGAAAATCAGATATGTTTATTTTATTTTGCTACCAGGTGTACGATCGAGATTTAACCTCTTCAGACTTCATGGGTTCAGCATTTGTTGCACTCACTGAACTTGAGCTCAATAGGTAATACATTTATTTAACTAAAGGTTATTAATGAAGCTTATTTGAAAAACAGGAAAATAATGAAATGCTTTTGCTCTAGCTTGGAATTTGTCTATTCATGAAAATTTATTTTGATAGGAGGGTGGGGAGCACATTTTAATAGGAAACACTTGAGATAAAAAGGTGTGTGTACAGGATATATCCAGCCTTATGTACCGGATTCAAATCCAACCTGGATGGAGCCTGGTTCACTTGTCATGCCTAGGAATAAGAGTTTCTATATGAAGCATTGTTTAGCAAGGGCTACACCAGAATAATTTACAGAGGGGGAATAAAGGGGGGAGAAGGTTGAGACCCCCTCGTGGACCCATATAATGTGGGGTGCCTTTTCCTGTGTGTAGCTGGGCTGGGGAGCAGTTTGCCTGTCTATGAGTGCCCCGTCTCCAGCCTCCCCCAGCAGCCATCCATCCCCGCGGCAGCTGCATCTGGCCCTGATTTAGTACAGAGGCAAGCCCTGCGCCTTTTGTCTGCTGCTTGGTCTCAATGTGGAGCTGGAAGCCAGGAATTCAAGTTTTAGTTCTCTCTTTTATACTCCCTTGCTGTGTAACTGTGTTTTTGGGGGAGAAAATGAGTTCTCCCTGTGTGGGTCTATTGCAGCTCCCATGGTTATCCAAATTTCTAGAAACATTAAGGAATTTATCTGTGAGATGGTGCCACCAGGTAAAAACCAGCATTCCCATTTTCAGAGAGGGAACTGAGTCGTGAAGGGAGATTAAACACAAGCAGAGATAAGGCAAGAATAAATACCTCCAGAGTTAAATCTCAGCCGTTAATGTTAGAAAATTCACTTGGATAAGTTTCCCTCTCACTCTTCTTCCCTGTGAAGTTGGGATAGTAGTAACTTAATTTGGTGTGTATCTGTGCATGGAGATTTATGAGTGTTAGCAATGCTATATGAACACTATGCTGAGTTATTGAAAGGGGGTTGTGTTTTGTCAGAACTATGAAGGAGCCCTCCAGATTTCCCGTTTTAACATTTAAACTCAATATTAGGAATTACAGACAAGAAGCTGAAATTTGCACAGCTCAGCGTGACCTTTAATAATCAACTTCAGTTAACTGGAGTCAATAAATGCACTTTTTCCCCCTCTTTTTTTTCTTGTAGAACTACTGAACAGGTTTTAAAACTGGAAGATCCCAACAGTTTAGAAGATGACATGGGAGTGATTGTATTAAACTTGAGTCTAGCAGTCAAGCAAGGAGACTTCAAGAGAAATGTAAGTGGCTTAGGAAATCAAATTGATAGCTGGAATGTGGTTGGGAGGGAAGAGCTGGCATAATCTGATTTAGTGGGAAATGCCACCTTTATTTTCATCCTCCAAAAGTCAATATTGAAATCAAGATAGATCATAAGTTAAAAAAAACCCCTCAGCTTTATATTTAGCTGGGTAAAAGTTGTGTAGACATCTGTAGCTGGATGCTACATCTTGTAGCTGCGATGTGCACCATGGCAGTGCTCTCTCGGTACCATGCATGTGGTATCCACCACTGCAGTGTGCAGGTTGCTGAAGTAAATGTGTGAACCATACCTGCTGTGATTGCTATTCCAGAGCACACTGTTTTCTGATTTACACCTAGGAGTTTAACACTTAAAAAACCCCAAACCAACAAACAAACAAAAAGACAAAACAAAAAACAACCCAACCAAACTAAACTTTAGTTTTGGGTTTTTTTTTTTTTTCTTTTTTCTTGTTTTTATGATAATATAAATATCCATGTGAAATCTAAAAGTGGATGTTTGACATTAAGACTTAAACCAATCTTGCAGAGGAGCACACTGGCTGAGAGGAAGATATTGCTTGTAAACTGCCTGATTTTTGCCACTGATGGTTTCTTGCCTGAGTTCAATTGAACTTGGCTTCTGGTGCTTAAATATGGTGCATTTAGTGCTGCTAGAAACCCAGAACAACTTGGGCAGAGACTGGGAACATCACAACTGAAGGTCACAGTTTTTGAATTTCAAGTCCTGCACAGGGGAGATTGTTTTTGCTTTTATGTTTAGCTATTAAGACTCCTACTAATATCTTACACAGAGTGTAAAGCATACCTGTGTTGGTGAACTCATCCTGTTCCTGGCCAGCAAAGATGGAGAAAAGCCAAAATCAGGGTTTACTTGGACTGGCTTGAAAACCAGAGCTAACTTTAACTACATGAAATACTTATGTAAAGAGAAAATATTCCTGCAAGTCTCCTATATAGTCTAGCGTGAAAGTTGCTGTTTACAGCACATTATTGAATTATAGGTATGGAATTCCAGTCTGAGTGAGATTACTTATAGAAACATAAATGTTTCAAGGGGTTGGAAAGCAAAATAAGAAAAGCTAATGTGGGATGTCTGTCATTCATTATTTATTTTTCAAATAGTTGCCTTTTTGAATATTGTAAAATCTCAATATTAAAATAATTGTAGTTATTTGAAACTCAATATGTGATTATTTAAAAGCTTAATGACAACATTCAAAACACTATTGTGGTGTTTATCTATATTATGAGATGGCTTTGGTCTGGGTTGTAAATTCTCCCTCTAACTTGTACAAGAGGGTGTTGGCACACGTCACTGGATTGCAGGAGGGGGTAAAAAGACATAAAGTTGCTTTAGCAAAAAAGCAGTTTAGTGGAAAGAGCCTCAGGGATTATTCCGGGATTTTTAGGAAGGCATGGGCTAATATGGACCTAGCCAGTGAGGCAGCAAATACGTTGGTTTAAAGTAGCAGCTTTTGGTGCTTTTGGGCACTTGGTTAACATTCAGAATGCAGATGATAGAAGAGTTGGTGCACACTGTAATTTTTTTAAAAGACAGTGTTTTAAGCCCTCATGTTTCAAATGCAGATTGTTCAGCCATCTCCAGTGGAATCAGAACAGAAATAGCTCTGTCCATATTAGCACTTAACAGCAAGATTATTTTCTTTCCTTTTCTAAATTAGCTTACTGTAGAACCAGATAGCACCAGAAGTATAAGTTGTGTTTCTTACTAATGGCTCTAGGTCCTTCCACTTTTTATTCTTGATCACTTAATTTCCTCTTTTTTTGTGCGATGCAGGTATTTTGAGTTTGTCGATTGTTGTATTCCACAAGGGAGGGAAGGTAGATGAATACAGTCGTAGTTCCAGCCCCCTACTCAGTAATAAGCTTTTCTAATACATATGACAAGCTGCTGTTTGAATTATTTTACTCAACTCTTTCTCCATTTTACTCCTCCTCTGTTTCCTTTCTCTGGCTTCTCTTTGTTACAATGGTGTGGGGACTCACAAATAGAGATGGTCAAGTCGGAAGAAGCGAACTTCATCCAAGGTAATCCATATTTTTTTTCTCTTAAAAAAAGTCCACTCTCAAAATCTGTGTCCTCTCTGAAACAGAAAAGGTAAATATAGGAAAACTCTGAAGTATAGTTACAACCTGTCTTAATGTGGTGTGATAGCCTTTGCTTTTCTGAGCCTTTTTTCCCCAATGTAAAGAGAAATTGCTGCTGTTTCCTTATTGTGGGTGCTATGGTAGCATCTGGCAGCAAGTTGAGAGTAAGACTCCATTCGGTAAAAAACTATCTGGACTGAGGAAATGAACCAAAAATGGAGCTGTAGAGAATTTGAGTTGTTTAAGGATACCCAAAAGGTGGCTGGTAGTTGGTACTGGAGTGGAACATGGGTCTCCTGGATCCCAGTCTAATTGTCTGGGTTGCTTTCTTACAATGGGAGGAATTTTGTGAGGCAGTATTTCTTCTGTTGGCTCTGTGGATTTTGAAATTCCTTTTGTTCTTGGGATGGAGACCAAGCAGGGGATTTTCATTACCAGCAATGTAACAGGATTTCCAAGATCTGTGTGTTGCTACATGTCTACACAACTTGCTTCCCTCGATCTTATGTAGTATCCCTGCAGGCTTCTGTTACTTTTATATTCCTTTACTGTCCCATTTTTGCATTACATTTTAACTTGTTTGGGAAGCAGACTGTAGCTTTCTATTTGTTGTGTAAAGCTTTAATTTGCTATTGAGTAAATAACAATGATCTAGAGGCTGCAGGGCCCAGTACACAGCTCGAGAGCTGTGCAGTCTATCTGAAAAACAGAATTTGGCTCTTACAAGAACACATATGCATCTTGATATTTTCCCTATATAACTATTGCTTTGTGCCTAAATAATTTGAATAATTAACCTCCTCCTGTTTGATTCAATACAACTGTGGTGTACTATGTAAAGGAGCCAGTCCTCTCAGGTATTGTGCAGCAAGTATATTTTTGTCAACATAAGTGGAAAGTACAGCCCTTGGAGCTGGATGGCATCTTGGTGAGCCCTGGTCCCAGGGATGTCACAGCCCTTCCTGTGGCACTCAGCACAGAGAGCCGCCAGGCATCCCCGAATGCTGTATGACAGAAAGTGATGGAATAATTGAGGAGCTCAGCACTTTAGTTCTTAACTAAAGCTCAGGAAATTACTGTGCCCTCACTCAACCACTGTAGCTTGATCCCCCTCATTCTCACGCATGCACACATAGCTGCCTCTTGACACTGGTTGGCTTTGGGTCTCAGGAAAGGGAGCCAGGTTTATAAACTCTGGTCCTTTTTGTTCAGAATAACCAACCTTCTGTCTTGGCTGCTGTCTTTGGAATATTTTGTTGTAGTATGTTATATCTCATTGTATTTATAATAATTTTCTTATGCCTGGGTTTTTGGACTTTTATCTTTGAGCCCTACTGGCAGGTCGCTTCGTTCCCAACTGACTTATGCCTTAACATCTTTCAAAGTAAAATTAAGAGATGGTGAAGCATGGTACTGGCTTAGGAGACATGAAAGTATTGTTTCAAAAAGGAGGGGAAAAAAAGCCACAACCCTGTGCTCTATTCTCTTCCAGTCACTAGAGGGTAGGAGAGCTTCAGTTCTTCCTAGAGAAGACACAGTTCACACTCCAGTGTGATCTCTAAAGAAAAGCTCTGTGACCATCCAAAGGCAGTAAAAAGTGTTTCCCAGCATGCGCTGGAAAAATCTGACAAAGCAGTATTTCCTAGTTTATTGATTCTGCTACTGCACTAAAACACTAGTACTGTACATCAATAACCATCTTTAGTTAGGAAACTCTGGTCTGTGGAAGCAGTACTAGCATTTTGTGGCAGAACATAAAGGCTAGAAAGAAAAATTGTGTGCATGGGGAATATCGGTGTCTAGGGAAGGCACAAGAGGTTATGGAAGAATAGCCAGAGAGTGTGATGGGGTAGAAAACAATGTTGCTGGACGAGATAAAGATAGAGGAATAAGGGGGCAGGGAAATGGAGTGAGCTCTCTAACGGATACACAAACTCGTCTCTTTTTTGGCTACTGAGCTGACTCTGGTTGTTGTAGGAGTAAAAAAGGCCACATACTTTCCATTTGAGCTGCTGAACTGAGGCAGATCTACATTTTACCTCTGTAGGTTTAGGCAAATAAAACTGTTTGAAATAGTTTTCCTGGGTGTTTTGGGCTGAATTGTAGCTGACCTCTATTGTAATAATCAGCTTTTCTTCTATAAATACAGGCAAAATTATTTACGTTAAGGATGGACAAAATGAATATAACTTCCATAGTTGTTTCTTAATCTGTATTGCTTGTATGAAAGAAATCTGCTTATACTTGAATTTGACCACTTTATGTTATCTTAGTGCAGATTTGGCACATTGGTGTCCTAAATAAGTCTTTTGACATTAATCAGGGGATTCTTGCTGGCTTCCCAAATTCACCCCAGATGTTTAGTACATTGATGGCATTAATACCTGTTGCAACTCCACGTCACTGATGAAGGGGTTCAGACAGGCTGTTGTAGGTACTGTACACTTTTCATGTGTGTACTCTAAGCTCCCTCACTTTTTGAGGATAAAGCTACATTTTCAGACAACACTGAAAGCAGCAGCACAAGATCTCCAGTCTAGCTCTGGTTGCCTCACAGTCGTTATATGCAGAAAGGATTTCAGCACGCCTTTTAAATCATTTTGGCGCAAGAGCTGCTGAACTGGATGATTAAGCTATCTGTTGATTACACATTATATATTTTTTCACTGCTGCTAGAAGGGAATCTTCACACATTTGTGTGAACTCCCTAGACATGGGCAGCGCGTCCAGATCCCACATTTTTCATGGGAGCTGAGAACAGTATTGTCCTCTCTGGGAGCTGTCTCCAAGAGTGCAGCTTTCTTTTTCTCATGGAGGGTGTCATTGCAAAGGGAAGAGGATACTATTAGGCAGTATTAATATTCACAAGCATATATGTGTATTGGCAAGCTCTCCCCTCTTTCCTGTTTCTCCTTCTGGGGTGCAGAGGGAGTTGGTATCTATCTCTGCAGGAGCCACGCGTGACAATGTTCAGTAGCCTTGTTTGTCCTGGGTGGCTTGAGTCTCACCATGAGTGCCCCACACATTATTTCTAGCATTTGTACAGCTGAATAACCTTTAAGTGCTTGAACATCTATGAAGCAAATAAGCAGGTTTGCTTGGGGTGGATTGACCCGCAGCAGTTCAGTCCTGAAACAAAAGCGACGCAATTGCCACCTTGATAGCCTAAGCTGATTGAATAAATTGGCTGAAAGGCTGACCGGACTGAAGTGCTCCTCAGCATCTCATCGCAGGGGAAAATCCCTCACTCTCATTTTTTTCCCTCTGTGTGGGCTGTTAGGTTTCATTTTTGTCTGCCTCATTGTATTTGGCTTTCTCCCACAATACCCCATGGGCAGTGACGCTTCCATGGAGCGGAGGGACTTGGTTGCCACAGGGTCACTCATCGCAGCAGCAATCTCGTGTTGGTTCACTTGCTTTTCTCGCTGTCCTCTCCTCTTTCCCAAGGGGAGACTGCATCTGTAAAATGGTTTTTCTGCCTAATGAGGAGAGGTCCAAAAAGTCTTCCTATTTGTGTATTGTTGTTTTCTCAAATGGCCCAGTTTCGGTGCTGACCTCTTCACAGGGTTTGCAGCAGGCTTTCTGTTGTCCTGTCTCATCCTTTTAAATGAAAGATGTGAGAGATGGGCTCCCTTCACACTTGGCCACCTCGCCGTGTCATTTAAATGTTCAATTTTTCTGCATCTCTTTATTGCTTCAAAAACAAGTTTGAACTTGGGGCATGTATATGTGTGTGTCAGGAAAAGAGACAGATTTGAAAGCAGCCCTGATGCACCAGAGGGGATTCACTGGGTGCCTAGAAAGGGAGATTATATACAAATGGTGTTATCAGTGAGACTGGAGCTCCTAAAGGTTTTTTGTAAAGCTGGGTCAATGAGCTGGTTCTTTCCCCTCCAAAGCCCCGTCATTCTCACTCATCTCCTGTATTTGGCACTTTGAAGGCAGAATACGACCCACCTGCTCGTTCTTGTCCAGCTTTCTTCTTTAAACCAGAACCAGATAGTAATAAAACAATTGTAAGTGGTGTGAGAAGCTTTCATATTAATTTTGAAACCAGGAACTAGATTCTGAAAATGGCATTATGAGCACTGACTTCTAATTTTTGTGTCCAGAGATGTGGGATGGTTGCCAGGCGAATGTTCTTTCTAAGCAGCAGGGAGATGAACCGTCATCTGTTCCTCACGTGGCAGAGTCCTGCTCTATGACCAGGCCATACTTTTGCTTCAGAGATTACTCGTTACTTACCTGATGTTGCACAGTCTGTAAGTCTGCAGCAAACATGGGCTCTTAGACTTTAAAACCATCTATTTTGGCTTTTAGAGTACAGCTTTCTGGGTATCCTTATTGTTTTCTTTCTGGCCTGCTTGTTTGGGGGATGTTTTATTTTCATTTTTTTTTTATCCATTTTACAGCTGTGACCTTTATAGTATCACTGGTTATTTGTACAGAGAGCCCAGCCAAAATCAGAGCCCTATCTGGAGACAACCCCTCAAATTCTGGTCTCAAGGCTATCTTGATTTCAGAAATAATGGGGGGGCAGGAAGGAATAAGCAAACTTGTCCAATGATTTGTGCTTTAGATATGCGCCAACTTCCATCATAAAGTGTGTGTTTCCTAATTTCCAGCCCTATAGCCCGATTCTAGCTTCAGACATCTTTTCTGTACCTCTGCACAGCACCTTTACTTTGGTCTGGGATGTAGCAAGAGTGTGAGCTGGCTGACTGCAAAGAGTTTATAAGAAAATATAGCAGGAGAGGTCTGAAGGACCTGGCATCCAGTCTGGGAACACAGCTGGGAAG